CCGGCAGACGCAGCCGTGTCCTGGGACGTTTTGTCTGTGGTGATGATTTCCAGCAGCTGCATCCTGTCGACGGGGGAGAAGTAGTGCATCCCGATCACCTGGGCAGGAGGGAGAGCCCTGGGTTACGCGGGGCTGGGGCAGACTTTGGCTCCCAGAGCGACCCGCCGGGCGAGCCAAGCGCCCAGCCGCGGAGGGGCTGCAGCACCCACCACCACGGCGCACCCTCCCTTCAGCCGCATCCCTCCCCGCCAGGCCTGCTCTCCAGCTCCCTGTCTCCCCCTGGTCCTCCCAAGGAGGGAGCACCTGCCCCGCAGCTCTCGCCTCAGTGAGGATTTGGGTATAACGCCTACAGGGCCGAGAGTGCTGCTCAGCTCTCCGTGCCTGCCAACAGTCTGGCAGCAAAACCCGCCTGGGAATCTCAGCCCAGCTCAGTCCTCAGGCAAAAGACAGGCACGGCGTGATCCGCAGGTCCCAGCTGAGCTGGCGGGGCAGCCACACACCGGGGCAGTGCTTCCCCTGGACACCGAGAGCGGGACAGCAGCCACAGAGACAGACGTGGAGCGGAGTCCCCGTGTTCTGCTTCAGAGTGTTTTGGTTTGGTGACGAAGTGAATCCAAGGACAAGGGCACGTTTCCAGGAACTAATGACAGAGGGAAGTGCCAGCCTTCCTCTGGGAGCAGCAGTGAAGTGGAGATTATTCGGCTGCGTGCCTCACTGTGACACCACCAGGTAATCAGCACGTCACCTCCATGCCTCCTGGAAGCTACGCTCGGCTCTAAGATCTGTACAAGTCAGAGGCACCGTGCAGGGGAGTTGCAGACTGCAAAACTAATTAAAGACACTAACTGGTTAACTGGTTTCCTATTAGTTTCTCCACAAAGAGCCATCACACAGGCAATTCATAAGGCAAGAGGAGGTCATTTGCAAGTCTGAACAAACAAGGCTCAGCGTGCACTTCAGTGCAACTCAGGTCCGGCAGCAAACCCCAAAGAGGCTCACAAAGGTCAGAGGGACCTCCTCCAGTTGGGACACGCGTTCTCACTCCAGGGACTTCAGAAAGGAGTACTTCCTTCAGCTGGAAGGGACCTGCAATGACCACCTAGTCCACCCTCGCAGATGTCCACAGAACCTCTTCAGGAAGACACGCAGCAGAGGCGTCGCACAGCCCTGGGCAGGCTTGAGACCCTCGTAGGAGTTCAGGGAACCAGCCAAGGGCACCTGTGGTTTTGCATTTGTGCAACACTTTCCATCTGGAGCTCCTGAGCTTCCCTCTCCTCCTCCCCAAGCTGCTAGTGCCTCCCCAGCCCCCTGCCTTAGAGAGGGAGATGGGATTAGCTCGCCGGGAACGGCTTGCTCCTCCCTGCCTTTCCTGCAGCCCCAGGCAGGCAAAGCAAATACAGGGAAAGTGTTTCCCCCGTTTTTATCCAGGCCAGCCTAGGCCAACGCTTAGTCCTCAGGAGATGACTCCGCCTGGTCACGCCGATGCCTCAGGCCCCTTCAGGCACCGCGGTGACATGCCTGGTCTCCCGCTGCTGCTCCCTGCAGGGTGCGGGTCTCCTGTCGGGCCTGCGGCAGATCTGCCAGCCCCACGCCAGCAGCTGTCACAGGGACGCCTGGCAGGCGCAGAGGGCCACGAAAAACAGCACGCAGCCGCCTTCTCCCCACCCGTCCTCACCCCCCGAGGCGGTAACGCCGTCCCTCGGGGCGGGCGGCTCCGCATGAAGCAGTGCTGCTGCTCAGCGGGGCTCGCCTGGGCTCCGGGAGGAGCAGGCAGCTACTGTACACGCTGCCCAGGCTTCAAGCAAAGGGATGAAGAGGACCTCTGGGGTTGGACTAGATGATCTTTCGAGGTCCCTTCCAACCCCTAAAACTCTGTGGTTCTGTCAAACCTCTGCTGCAAGCTGCTGCGTTGCACTTGGTATCCCGCTCAGATGGATCATTTGGAGCCAGGGAGAAACCCCCATCAGCCCCTCAGGAGCTGACCCACGGCTGACCAAGGCTTCAGTTTCAGCACCTCCGAGTTCAGCTTCCAGCCACCGACTTTTCTCCCTTTTTTGCTCCTAGGTTACTGTCTTCTCCAAGAAGGAGAAAGCATTTTCCCATCATGGCAAGTCACTTCTATGTCCAATAAGTTTATCAATATAACTGAAGTCTTCCTGGCTGGAATTCTCTCACCTTGAGTCCTTCCACAGCTTCTCTGCCCCCCACCCTGTGTGCACTAGCGTCTCCTGAAGCACTCTCACCTCCTTCCTGCGCCTTGTCCCGCCAACATCACACTTGTTACCTTCACCCCCTTCCTACCTGGCCAAAGACCACAAGCTCTTTGTTCAAAGCCTGCTCCGGGGGCAGAGGATGAGCCATTTCACGTGGTGAGGAGGGAACAGAAGATCCCAGCACTCCCCTACGGCAAAGCCAGTCTGCCACTGACAGGCAGCTCGGCGCAGAGCAGGCTCCCGGCAGGCACGTGGCGCTGGGTACTCACCTTCTCTGGCCTCTTGCTAACAGCAGCGATCTGGCTGATGGGGAGGGCAGACGTGTTACTGGCGAAGATGCAGTGAGCAGGGATCACCTGTGGCACCGGGAGGGGAGATGGTGTGAATGCAGGGGCTCCAGAGTCAGACCTCGAGCCCCGAGAGAAGAGGGCCAGCCCCCGCTCACCCTGACAGACCAGGCAAACCCGGTGTTCTCTGGGGGAGCACGCGGCATTAGAAACGAGCCCTAAAGCAGCAGCCCAAGTCAGCCAGACCTGCCTTCCCCTGAACTCTCCCCCCCTGGGTCTGCAATAGCAGCCTCAGAGCCCCTGTGTCTCCGTCAGACCACTGCAACCACGTTAGACACCGCGGGGAGGGGCTTCGGCCAGGGGGGAAGCACAGCTCCTTGACCACGCCGCTACGTCCCCACGCGTGCTCCTGAACAGACAGACGCAGGGGCAGCAAGCTGGAGAGAAGGTCAAGGGCTGCAGGTGGTGGAGATGCCAAAAGACACTGCTGTCCTATCAGTGCGCTCAGGCAAAGCTTTTTGGAGCTGCTCCCAGGAGTCAGGGAATGTCAGATCTGCCCCGTTCAGCTACGAACTACCGACTCCTCACCCAGCAGGGAGCACCCCTAGGGGACAGGAAAGCTGCCCTTGACACTCACCCACATACTGGCCTAGATAACTTGCACCAAGCACCGAACTGCGGCACAAAGGAGATGACAAACACAGCGGCCCAGGACACCTGGAGTCTCCGCCACGCAGGGGCCACCTCTAGCACAAGCTGCTCAGAACCGATACTCACGGCCTCCACGTCCTTCAGCACTTTGTGCTTGATGTTAATGTCCTCAAACACAGCCTCGATCACCATGTCCGCCTTCTCAAAGCCCTTGTAGTCCAGCTGGCTTGTCAGGTTGCTGAGAATGGAGTCCCTCTCAAACGAGGTCAGGCTCTTCTTCTTCACCTTGCCGTCCAGCCTGGGGAAGGACAGCTCTGTCACAGCTCCTGGGCAGGCCAGCCCAGACTGCTAGGGGTGCACCACAAACACCCTCCTGGAGCTGGGACCCAAACCACCACCTCCATCCAGCAGGACTGTCACTCTGCGTGCTGGCCCCTCCTTCCATCTGGAAAAAGGAGAGCCATGCTCACACAACTCAGCTGGTGCCTTGGGCTGAAGGTCAGTCGCTGACACTCCTGACGACGGAGGGCTGAGCACTATTACTGCTGAGCCAGGAGGACAGGGGAGGGGAATGCAGCTCCTCAGCAGGCTCACCCAGTGCCTCCCCTGACACGGGCCTCTAGGCAGCCAGGATTACTCCCTTCCCCCTTAGCTCTATGAGCTACTGCTAAACCTAAAAGCTGAAGCAGTCACCTCTCAGGTCCTCTACCTACCTAAGGGGCTAAGGCTGAATAAGCTGGGCCTGTTTCGTAGCAATAACCCAGCAGGCTTCATAGGGCAACCTTAAAAGAAAGCACTCCTGGGGCATCTGATGGCAGAGCGCTCCAGAGGGGCCAGGAGCTCCTGACTGCCTGAAAGCAGAGGAGGATTTTGACTAAAGGAAGCCCCAGCCCACCCCGAGCAAATCCCTTTTGGCTCACGCACCCCTTGAAGATCTGCTGCTGCCCTCTGTCCAAGCCTTGCTGGGCCGTGTCCTTCAGAATGGTCTTCAGTCCCTTATCCACCGAAACCTGGGCGATCCCAGCTCCCATGAGCCCCGCTCCCAGCACCGCCAGGGTCCTGCACAGAAAGGGACGGGGTGAGGCGGGGGCCACACAGTCAACACCAGGAACAGCTGAACCTCCCTTGCTGCCGCCAGACCCGCACAGACCCTGCCCACCCAGGCGCTGGTTTTGGTGCAGTCACACAAGGAGGTTCCACTTGCGGACAGAGGGTCAGCCTTCGGGAGGCTGGACACCTCCCTGCTCTGCTACGCTGCTGCTCAGGGCTCTGGGCCGCTCGGTCCCAAGGGGAGCCGAGGTCCTCCTCGGGCACCCCACGCTGGCACTTACTTCACCTCTCGCTGAGGGGTTCCGAACTTGTTCTTCTTGCAGCGCACCTGCCCGTGGTAAAGGCCGATGAGCGCCTTGGACTCCTTAGTCAGCGCAAGTTGGCCAAAGCTCTGGGAGAAAGGGAAGAGGGAAGCAGAGAGGTTGGCATTTAAGGGCTGCCTCGCTCCCAGCACGCACAGATCGAAAGCAGGGCAAGGGGAGAGCTCAGCCACCCACACGACTGCACGGAGGAGTAACCTGGAGAGAAAAGGAAGGTCCGACGGGGCTCACGTATCCACTGCTCAGAGGCACCTTCTGTGCCACGCACAGCTCACCTCGCACCACCGCCTCCCATGCTCTGCCCCGGGGAGACACCCCCCCCC